CACCAGATCTCATTACAGATGGTTGTGAGCCACCATGTGGTTGCTGGGAATTGAACTCAGGACCTCTGGAAGAGCAGCCAGTGCTCTTAACCTCTGAGTCATCTCTCCAGCCCCTCTTTTTTTAAAATTCTGTATGATACTCGATTAAGTTAGCATGTTCATGTAAGAGACCTTGTGTCTCTGTGGAGCTGGGTAGTGTTGACTGAATCTCCTTTCCTGGCCCTGGTGCAATGGGTCCTTCGCTCTGGGAGGGCAGACCGAAGCTGTGGTCAGAACCAACATCTTGCTTGTTCCGCCAGGCGGAGTGCTCGCTTCACTCGGGAAATGGGCCCAGGATTCTTGTAGCCAGGTCAGGGGCACAGCAGAAACAAGAGGTGTTCTTGGCTTGTACACACGACAGGAGGCACACTAAGAGGAACTCACTTGGAGATGGGGTGTCACCATAGCAGGTGGGGCAGGGCAAAGCCCCAGCCACACCCCAGGAGGACAGGGAAGAGGCATCAGTGTTTATGAGGGAGCAGCAGATAGAGGGAAGAGTTAAAGGCCCTGAGGTAACAGAGGGGAGGTTCTCCATTTTATGGCAGAGTGGCCTGTGGGTGCCGAGGAAGCCTGGGAGGCTGACATCAGAGAGCACATCTAGGCTTCGAGCGTGTGAAGTGGCTTTAGGCTCTCTGGTCCCGTCTTCCATTAGTCTGTGTTTTCTGGGTTTCGCAGACCTGAGGTGGGTGTCCTGAGGAGCAGGGTTTGGCGGTTCCTGGGGGACATGTCTGTGTTGTATTCCGGGCTTGCCCCTCGGCCCTGTTGATGTGTGAGTAAAGGGCTGCCCTCCTGCTTGTCAGAGCGGCCAGAGCACATTCCAGTGCTTTTGGTATCTGGTTGTCCTCTGTGTGCTGTGTGAAAACTCACCTCCGTGTTTGTCTGTCTCTTAGAGTGGATGATGATGATGAGGAGGACCTGGAGGAAGAACATATAACCAAGGTAAGCTAAGCTGCCTACTCCTTGGATACTTCCAGAGGCGGGAGAGGGGAGTTCCTAGGCCCAGGACTCTTTGTTCTAGCAGTTTCTCAGCCTCCTGTGGGTGAAGAACTCCCAGCCTTGGAGGTGTGTGCTTCCCAAATGCAGAGCATCGATCGCTCTCGTTGCTCCCTTGACTAGCTAGGCTCTGAGGGGAGGCCTCGGGAGGAGCAGCATTCGGGGCCAAGGACTCACAGGGTTTCCCTTTGCAGTGGGCACTAGTGAGGGCAAGGGAGGAGCAAGCCAGTGTGCCCTCCTTATTCTTGGACTCCCACGGTGTGTTTCTCTTCCTGCTTGTGTTTCACATGCGTGGAGTGTAGTGAGCCATGTGTGGTCTGTCCATGATGGATCTTTTCTGTTGAAAGTAGGTGTCTTTCTCTGCTCTTCTCTCTCCTCACTGCTGAATCCTAGAGTAACCAGAATGTGCACCTCAGGCTCCATCTTTCCCTTCAGGGCACATGCAGGGAATAACCCTCCACCCGCGTTCTCTAGAGGGCTGAGGATCACTGCTGAATCAGGAGTCGGTGCTGTGGGGAAACTCACTCTCCGAGGGTCCCCAGCTCCTGCTGTGCGGTAGACTTGAGGTCCAGTGTGAGTTGTGAGAGTTGAGTCCTGGGGACTGCTTGGACTTCCAGAGCACTGCTAAGCCCTCCTCAGGTGTTAGCTGACCTGAGCTGACGTGTGCACTTGTGACCGTCCTCCTTCCCCCTGCGGGACCTCAGGCCAGTATGAGCTGGTCAGACCCCTCTTTGAACCCCTTACTCTCCTCTGTCAGATTTATTACTGCAGTCGGACACACTCACAGCTGGCCCAGTTTATACACGAGGTACGGAAGAGCCCCTTTGGCAAGGAAACCCGGCTAGTCTCTCTTGGCTCTCGGCAGGTAAGCAAAGGGGGTGGGTATGGGGAGCTCAGCCCAGACAGATTCCTTCTTCTGTGTTCTTTTGTCCTGGCCCAGGCATAGAAAACTGGTGGGGTGGAGGCGAGGGAGGCATTGGGATCCCTGCTCCTTTGCTGGCGTGTTGTTCTTGAGAAGGTGCAGGAGGAGCAGGCTGGGTAGAGGTCCTTCCTGTAACCTTCAGCCAGCACGGTTTCCGGTCTTTAACAGAAGCCTGTCAGTAGTCAGTATCAAAGATGTTGAGCTGAACTCAGGAACGCTGAGAGTGGGAGAAACAGTCTTCCCCAGGGAAGAGCACAACATTGGTTATCCTAGACCAAAGGGTCAGTGAAAACATAGTTACAGACGGAGCAGGCTGTAGTTAGGGATACTTATGCATGTATGTACACGTATAAGGCTGTAATATCAATTCATGAAGAAAGAGGCCATGAGTTTGAAAGAGATCCAGGGGCATTTGCAGAGAGGAAAGGGAAGGGAAAAATATTGTAATTATAATCTCAAAAAATAGAAATTAAAAACTGTACTATTGGTCATGCTTCTCTCATCCAGTCCCAGAGACCACAACAAAGGACAGTATATTTTATTTAATGAGCTGTTTCCCAAAAAAAAAAAACCTCACAGAAAACTCACCCTTTGGTTGGAAAAGAAACAGACTATCAGCACATTAAAAAAGCGTTCATTTAAGTCAGGCATGGTGGTGGGGGCACATCTTTAATCCCAATACATAGGGAGGCAGAGGCAGGCAAGTCTCTGAGTTTAAGGCCAGCCTGGTTGATGTAGTGAGTTCCAGGAAGTCAGAGCTATGTAGTGAGACCCTGTCTCAAAAAAATAAAAAGCTGGGTCGTGGCGGCGCTTGCCTTTAATCCCAGCACTTGGGAGTCACAGGCAGACAGAGCTCTGTGAGTTTGAGGCCAGCCTGGTCTACAGAACGAGATCCAGGACAGCCAGGGATACACAGTGAAACCCTGTCTTGAACCTCCTCCTCCAACCCACCCCCCCCAAAAAAAAAAAAAACTAACCAACTAAACAAACAAAAAAACCCCAAACCTCTCATACCCAAATGGGGCCAGGGCTCTAGCTGCAAAGAAGCAAGCTGCAAGCTTCCAAACTACCTAAAATGGGCTGGAGAGATGACTCGGGGGATAAGAGCACTTGTTGCTCTTCCAGAGGATCCAGGTTCAATTTCTAGCATCTATACATCTGTTACTCTAGTCCAGGTGATCGTAGGCTGTCCTCTAGCCTCCTTGGGGACCAGACACACAGGGTGCGCAGACATACATGCAGACGGAACACCCACACACCTAAACTAAGAGTAGATAAGTCGGCACTGACTAGTGCAGACCACAGTGGGCGGCACATTTGAAGACAGCAGCTCCAGTCTCAGAAAAGGTGATGCGTTTTGTGTGCTATACCTTGGGCACAGACAAGTTTCTTTCACTCAGGAAGGCAGAAGAGCAGTTTAGTGGTCGCATTTATATTAACAGTCCATTCTGTATTTGAGGGGAAACAGGTCAAGATGAGACAATATTTAGGGCTGACTGAGGGTGAACTTGGTGGTCGAGGTTTTGCCCAATGTGCATGAAGACCACCGCTTTCGCTCTCCTTCTCTCCTGCCTTACAGAACCTTTGTGTGAATGAAGATGTGAAAAAGCTGGGTTCTGTGCAGCTTATGAATGACCGCTGCGTGGACATGCAGAGAAGCAGACACGGTATGCACAGGAACGTGGGCCGTGCTGGACAGTGGAAGTGGCAGGAATGTGGTGGGGTTGTTACAGGGCCGTGACGATGAAGACTGTGTTACCCAGAAATAATGGGCAAGCAGGCTTTCTGGGTCAGGGTCAGGGACCTGGCTCAGAGATGTTTGTGCCATCTATGGAGGGTATAAAGTAAAATCCCAGAGTGCTCTGATGAGTCCACAGTCGGCAGCAAGAGACGTGTTTGGACATCGCTGCACCTACTTCTGACCCCAGAGCTCCTTCCTGTCCTTGCTTTCTCTCAACCGTCCCACCACAGAGAAGAACGGAGCTGGGGAAGACAAGCCAAAGAGAAGGAGAACGAAAATCCAGACCTCTTGCCCATTCCATAACCATGAGCAGATGCAGCTTCTCCGGGACGAGATTCTGCTGGAGGTGAAGGACATGGAGCAGCTTGTGGCCCTTGGGAAGGAGGCACGGGCCTGCCCCTATTACGGAAGCCGCTTTGCCATCCCTGCAGCCCAGGTGAGTGTGCTGGAGAAATGGGAAGTAGTTCTTGCACTAACTGGGGCTTGCAAGGCTTTTCCCTTCCTCTCTAGTAGTTGCGGATGTCCCTGCATAGGTTAGGCAGACAACTGTGCTGCATCGCATCCCCATGGCACAAAATTATCTTATCCAGAGCGTGGAGTTGCTTTGGGCTAGAGGCCAGTTGGCGTTATTGAGCATTCAGCGGATAGGAGCCTGGTCATCCTAAGAGTTGCTCATCCGAAGGAACCAGACTGAAAGGGTGTTGGGCAGGAGTTGAGCCCAGAACGTGAGCATAACCAAACGGCTTTTCAGGTGGACTGCTGACGTATCCGCCGCCTGCCTGCACCTGGCAATCCTGTCTTGCTCAGACCTGCCCTATCTTTATATGGAGAGGAAACGCTGATTTTTGTCGGACAGCCCCTTGCTGTTCACTATGGCTGACGTCATGCTGTCTTGCTCCCTCCCTGAAACGCGTCACTCATAGGGAGATCTGTGTCACCTGGGAGACTTAGATGGATTTCAAAAGAGGGCAGGTCTCAGTCATCACACTGCACAGTGCAGTGCTCACTCGTGATGTCCCTGCTCTATGTGGGCACTCACAGACAAACTGGGGGGCTGTCTACAGATGTCTCAGTGAGTTAGTGCTGCCGCCATTTATATAGAAGTATGAGGACGTGAAATTGGCGTGGTCTTGACATGTGAAAGCAGTTTTCGCCTTGTTTTCCTTTGTAACAGTCCATTGAAATAGCCCTGTTCTCCCCATGAGAACACTGGGGCCCAGAAAAGATGATTTTCTCTTCTCTCGCTGTCTTAAATGCTGGTACCCACATTGGCACCTGGGCCTTGAGTTTCCAGTTTTCTGAATTTTCCTTATCGGTATCTTTTTGTATGTGTTTGGTGGGTGCATGTGTCTGCACGCATGTGTGTGCAACTTTGGGTGTGGCAAAGCTTAGTGGGTATGTGAGCCTGTTCTTGTCTCCCTGCTGCTGGGATTTCAAGCGGTACCACCACCCCTGGCTTTTTCCCCATGGGTTTGTGGCTCAGACTTAGCCCTTGCTTTCAAGGAAAACGCTTTACCAACAGAGTCATCTCCCTCAATTACCTATTGTCTTTTAATTGGAAGATATTCATAGCAACATATACCTTCAGATTTGATGTTATACTCACCCCTCAATTGACATGGTTTGTCAAATTCACTTAGCTGATGAAAAACCAAGGGTCACTTAAATTAGGTTTTGCCAGGGTCACAGCTCCAGGACCACAGGCTGCTGTTGCTTTCTGGTACTCTGTGCTGAAGAAGTTTGGAGCCTGAGGGCTACTTGGGATCTTAGATGAGGTTCACCTCCAGGGACTCCACCCCCTCCCCTTCCCCAGATGGTCAGCTCCAATGTTGGTTCCTCACAGTTGACAGTCCACATAAAACATCTGAAGGAAGGTCTGTCGGAGCAGCAGAACACTGAGCTGTGCTGGTCTGGCTTGAACACCCCTGTGCAAGGTTGGCGTGAGAAACCGAACAACTCCACAGGACTCTAGTAGCCTGGAGTTTATTGCAGGATAAGCCTTCTGCCATGTGCAAGACTGGTAGCTTCACTGTCCGACGGTCATCTTTCCCTACAGCTGGTGGTGCTACCTTACCCAATGCTGCTGCATGCAGCCACCAGACAGGCTGCGGGAATCAGGCTGCAAGGCCAAGTGGTCATCATCGATGAGGCGCACAACCTGATCGACACCATCACCAACATCTACAGCACAGAGGTCAATGGTTCCCAGGTGGGGCAGCCTCTCCCGTCTTGGGCAGAGTGACATAGGTCATTCCTTTAAATGCCCAGGCCAGGAATTCCTCTGGATGTTGGGCTCGGTAGAGGGCGAGCTGAACCGAAACCCTGTCTTTTCCTGTTCATCGGCAAGCATGAGGTTCTTGGTACCCAGCTTGAGCAGAGTGGCATCTTCTGTCTTCAGCTATCCTTCAACCAGGACGCTGCTAACTAGTTCTCTGTCAGTAGGATGGTGGCGTCAGGGACCAGGAGTCTCACAGGGTCGCATTTTATCATTATTGATACTGCTTTGGGGGGTCTCTGCAGGCTCCTGTTTACTGTCAATCTGGTATGTGGCAAGCCTTGAAAGGCGTTCTGTGTGCCTTGCACTTTTCTCTTGGGGCGGGGGTTCACCGCTTCAGCTTCGGAGCTTTGGGGTTCTGGAGGGCAAAACTGTGTGTCGTGTACCCACACTACACAGATTGAGGTGAGCCAGCATTTGACTCCTGGCTTCTGAGCATGAAACCTAGGTGATTAGCTGTCACCGTCTTGAATCTTACTCTTGGTGGAGTGTGAGTCATCTCCTAACCCAGTTCTCCTTTGGCCTTCCCCCCCCCCCCTTACCCCCTCTCAGCTGTCATCAGCCCATGGCCTCTACATGCTTGGCCCTTGTCTGTTTCTGTCAAGCTGCCCATCACCTTGATGGTATCCTGGGCCGACATTTCCTAGACACGGACTAATGTCTCTCGGCAGAGATCCCCTTAACCATATCCTGGGATGCCTTCATGCTGTTCTGTTTTCTCCCCAGCTCTGCCAGGCCTATTCTCAGTTACTCCAGTACATGGAAAGATACGGGTAAGACACTACCCTGAGGAAGAAGATCTAGCCATGCTCAGTCTCAGTGGCCTTCCAGCTCAGCCTTCCAGAGCACAATGGAGGTTACTGTTAGTGCCCAGGTCTTGGAGGATTCGCTTGAACTGGTCTGTTCTAGTGTGTGCCCTCCACATCCTAGGCTTTTTGGACAGAGCAGCAGGCTCTGAAAGCCTTGGTCTTAGGCAGCCTTTTTTATCTGCTGGAGGGTTCGTAGCTCACAGCCCAGCGTGCCAGGCCCTAGGCAGAAAGGCCCAGTGGCGTCCAGGTGGAGGGAAGCTACTGCAGGATCCTGTGGTAGCTCTCCCTGTGACTTCTTCCTCAGGAAGCGTTTGAAGGCCAAGAACCTAATGTACATCAAGCAGATCCTGTACTTGCTGGAGAAGTTTGTGGCTGTTTTGGGAGGTAGGAGCGTCATCCCCTGGACCACTCCTCAGCTTCACGTGGTGGCGTTAGCCTTGTTCCTTGAATGCCAGTCAGCACACAGGGTGTGTTCCGCTTTGAAGCCCTGGTTGGATCATTTGGGGATGTTCTTTCCAGTTTAACTTGAGATGTTGGACCACAGCTTTTCCTTGTTGCGACTTTTGTCCCCTAGTGACTTCCCCATGGTTTGCTCCTTCCACTTTAGGAAACCTGACTGCATGGTTATGTTAATCACACGGTGCAGAGCGAAACCTGTTGTGTGGCATAGTCACAGCCATGTGGCATTCTGGCACTGACACACAGGCAGTTCTTATTTGCCCCTGTGTGGCTGGAAGCCCAGGAACTTTAAGCCTCGTTACAGAGGAAAAGCTAAAGCTCAGGGTGCGACCTGCCTGTGGCTTGTGAGACTGGAGGCTGCTGACTCCGGCATCCAAGTCTTGGGTTGTTCTGGTCTGGGACTGTTTCATTATATGAACATGCCTTTTTTTTTTTTTTCTAAAAAGATTTATTTATTATGTATACAATGTTCTGTCTACATGTTTGCCCGCAGGCCAGAAGAGGGCACCAGATCTCACTATGGATGGTTGTGAGCCACCACGTGGTTGCTGGGAATTGAACTCAGGACCTCTGGAAGAGCAGCCAGTGCTCTTAACTACTGAGCCACCTCTCCAGCCCCATGAATATGCTTTTAAAAGCTTCTGTGGAGCTGGATTTCCAGAAAGCCAGGACAGGCTTTTCTAGAGAGATCTTGTCCCATGCTGGTACTCTCGACTTCTCCCTCTGCCTGTGTCACAGGAAGATCCTATTTTTATTCTGGAAGATCCTATTTTTCCCCTTGCCCTGCTCAGAGTGACAGTGGGGAGACTGCTCTGTCCCTGTCCCCTGCCTGGCCTTGGGCTCCTGGAACCTCCTATCTTCTTAGTGTGTTCTTTGTCTGCTGTAAATGCCCCAAGCAAAGTCTCTAGAAATATGAATGTTCCTTGTAGTTCATGGAGACAGGACAGAGTTGAGAGCTTAAGTGAGCAGAGAACTGCCACCATGACCTACTCAAATTCCTTTTTTTAGGTAATGTTAAGCAAAATCCTAGTACACAGAGCCTGCTCCAGACAGGTGAGGAAGTCGCTGTTGAGGGTGGGAGGTGGTGTGAACCACTCAGAGCTCCACCCTGGGACTGAGCAGGGGACTCAGCAAGGTACAAAACCAGGGTCCTTTGTCTGTTTGCAGGGTCTGAGCTGAAGAGCATCAACGACTTTCTCTTTCAGAGCCAGGTGGACAACATCAACCTGTTCAAGGTAAAGGTCTATTCTGATTTAAGCACCTTCTGATTTACTTAAGGCTAGAAAGGAGAGGTGGGGTGGAGTGCAGCTGTGGACAGGTGGGATGGAGTGCAGCTGTGGGAGAGGTGGGGTGGAGTGCAGCTGTGGACAGGTGGGATGGAGTGCAGCTGTGGGAGAGGTGGGGTGGAGTGCAGCTGTGGACAGGTGGGGATGGAGTGCAGCTGTGGGAGAGGTGGGGTGGAGTGCA